TGAAAGCACGCGTTGTACTCTTTTTCCCTTGAACCGATTGTCCCAAATGGGTTTTCCAGCAAGGTTTTAAAAGAGGGCAACGGTGGATCATGCTAACTTAGAATCAAAGACCGATTACGAATCGGTGTCGAAGATCACATTAATAGTATCCGAGTCTCCTCTACAATCAACCACGAATACTGGGGGAGGGGGTATTACCCTTGGATATCGACTTTAGCAAGGAAAGAAACTTCGTAGCTGAAGGGTATCGATCGATAGGATTTATCATAAGGGCTAAACGGTCAAATGAACCATGCCCGCATAGGCTGCTCGAACCCTAACACAAAGCATGTACACATATGTTATTATTATGCACAATAATAAAAAGAAGCCTTTTCCTTGCAATCATCTTGTCTTTTAAATTTTTTTGTTTACATTCCTTAAGGAGTTTCCTGCTTCCGATCCCCTAACGGTAATGAGCCCAATGGTCACTTATAACCTAAGTTGGAACGATCACTCTCTCACTCGGGGACTATCGTCCGAAACAAACTCGGACGGTCTAAGCTATTAGACCTCGGGGGCATAAGACCTATTAGGTAACCCTAGAATTTTAAAGGCCACAACCACTTCCGCTCGGGGACTGTTATTTTAGGCAAGCCCACGTAACTCGGGGAACCAAGTCCACTGGGAGGCTCCCAAACTAAAAGGCTACGACCATATTAACACGGCTCGGAGACGTCTGAGACCCGTAACAAAAACTAGGCCTTCAAAAACGAATTTTTTTCATAACTAGTTCTAAAGGCTACCCTCTGCAAACTATAATCCGAATTACTTACTTTGGGATAAGGTTTTTGGTAACACCGAACCCCCAAGGTTTGTTTGAACCTTCGAGCATAACCTAAATTATTTCATGCTAAGGCATTTTGATCTTTGTGAACACAAATAATAAAGCAAAGGAAAACTTCAAAAGATGAAAGGGAAAGAAAGCCTTGTATATTTATCCAAAAAACTTTTTACAATGGGCAAATGGCCCCGATACAGAACTCTACATCGGCCAAAAATGGCCTAAAAAACAAAAGACAAAACCGTCTAAAAAGATCATAAGTGACCTAATCTTCATCGGGGGCCGCGTCGTTGCCTTCAGGGTCTCATGACCTTCGGGCTCATCCGAATATTCGGACCCCTCATAATCCTCCTCCTCGGGATAAACCAGCTTCTTGTCCTTGGCTTCAGATACCTTGGCAATCACAATCTCAGTCAACAAATTGAAAGCCTAAGCTTAAACTCCCTCGTGGGCCTCCCTTCGGGATTGCCACTTCATATGCTCCAGCAAATGTCTCACTTGGCTTGAGCCGCCTCAGCATCGACTTTATGCTGGGCCACCTTCTCATCAGCCTAGCCCTTGATCACAACAATCTCCGGCCTAGCCGCCTCAAGTTCCTTGGCCAAATTTTTTTGGCTGGAGACCGCACTAAGTTGAGGCTGGATCTCCTCTATTATTTTGGCTTGAGTCGAGGTCTTTTCATCTGCACCCCGAAGCTGGTCCTCAATCGACGTCAGTTGTGCCTGGCAGTCTCCTTTTCTAACGCTAGAAGGTCCATGTTTTTCTTCTATTCTTCGGCCTCAGCTTTCACCGTGTCCATCTCTACTTAGAGTTACCCGATCTGGTCAAGTCACTTTTGAACCTGCAGGTTTGGATCGTTAGCCACTGTGTCCGAATCATCGTCACTATCTTCAAGTACTCGTCTTACCTCCTCGACCCATTCAACATGGTCCTTCCGAGCTGCTTCTATCTCGGTCTGGAGTTTCTCACTGGGAAGCTTGTAAGCGTCCCTCTTCTCAGTAAGCTCCCGAATCTCGACCTCGTGTTGGGTTAACTCCTCACAATATTGGAGAAATGTTTCATGATAAAGTCCCGAGGCCTGCAAGCATAAAGAAAAGTGTTATGATTGTTTGCAACTTAAAAATCTAAGTAGACAACAAAGAGGCATTCAAAATTACCCGATTTAACGCCTGTTGGGCTTCGTTGAACAGGTAGGGCGCTTCCACTTCGTCCACCTTGGACTGGTCCTCTTCGGTCACTAGGCACCGAAGATAGCTGGCAACCCCCATGGGGGTAGAGAGAACTCGAGTGTCCTCCGGGATAGATATAATTATTGACCGCTTCCGGTCAAGATCTGCACTTGGAGCCGGGAACAGGTCCCCTAACCTCGAACTCGAGGAAGACCCGCTAGCTCTCGAAGACGACACTTTCTTTGGCACCGATATGCCACCCAACCCGATGACGTCCTCCGAGGCGGTAGATTCTAATCCATCAAAGAAGTTATTGAAATCTACTGCCCTTTGAGGCCTCTCGTGTGAACGCCCTTTCAGCATATGGTCCTCGTTGATCATGGCGTCAGAAATAAGGGAGACTCAGAGAGATAAATCACCCCAAACGCATCCTTCGGGGAATTTCCTCTACTCAAGGAATATCGGTAATGGTCTCCTTGTCGACCTCCCTAGCTTGTGGCAAAATTGCCTCGCCCCTCTCCGGTTCACAGGCCCCGGTCACTGCCCCTTCAGCAACCTCCATGGCTTGAGGCAATGCGATGTTGCCTCGCACGCAGGCCACCGGCTCAGAATTCTCTTCTTCTTCTTCGGACTCATCCCTCAATCGGTGGGCTAAGTCCGATGGGAGGGCGTCAGTGCTTTCCTTGGGTTTGCACACCTGCCTCCTTTTTGGTTTCTGCTTCTCCGAGTTCAAGGAACTCGGAGCCCCTTTTCTTTTCTTCTCTTTATCCTGCTTCAGAGCAGGTGATTGGGGGAGGATTTCTTCATCTCCAGACGGGGGCCTTATTGCAACATCCTTCCCAAGGCATATAAAGAAAAAAAAATGAGTAAGCTCAGAAGAAGCCCAAGTGTTGTCTATAGTCTACTCTAGAAAAGGATATTACCGTGAAAATGGGCCTCCTACCGGACCTTTAAAAGTTCCCGCCACGCGCTCTCGGAATAAGGCTTCTGTGACACGATGCCCTTGACCCACTCCTTGAGTCGAGGAACTGCATCCGACATTCGAGCAATAGCTGCACCACGAAAACATCGATAAGAAGGAAGGAAAAAGGAAAAGCAATAAACAAAATTTTAAAGGCAATATTACACTTACATTTCATGTTCCATTTCTCAAGAAATGGAATATCTTCAATCGGGATTAAATCTGAGGTTTTCACTTGAACAAATCAACCCAACTAGCCTCGGTCTCGATCCTCATCTATTTTTGAGAATGGGGCCTTAGTGGCCCGATGAGCAAGTTTTATTAATCCCCCTCGATAGAGTCGGGGACTATACCGACGCATGAGATGATTGATGGTGAAGGGACACTTCTCGATTTTGCTTACGAAGAAGCGGAGAAGAATTACTATACTCTAGAAAGAAGGATGAATTTGACCAAGGGTCACCTTGTTCCTCTTACAAAAGGCGATGATGACCTGGTCCAAAGGGCCTAATGTGAAGTGATAAGTGTAAACACTTAAAAAACCCTCCACGTGGGTAGTAATTAATTCCTCGGGCATAGGCACCACCACGTGCTTACTGACCCAGTTGCAATCTTCCTTGACCTTGGAGAGGAGACTGTCAGTAATCGAGTAAACATATCTTTAGACCGGTTCACACCGACCCAGTATGGAAGAGGTTTTCTCAACCTTGAAATCAGCATCGATCGGGCATCCTGCAGGAATGTACATTTGCAAGGTAGGCTCCGATGTCTTTTCTGCAGTAGCAATAGACGGAACATTTTCCTCTTTAGCCGGTCACGAGGCAGAGGGAGCTTTCTTTTGGGGAACAGACTTTAAGGTCTTCGCAATTTTTTCTTTTTTGGAAGGTTAAAGGAAAAGAGGAAGTTAAAAGGATATGCTTGACAATTTGGGGTAAAGAACAGAGGTTCTTATAAAGTGATTTCGGGGTGATTAGAAAATGGTTGTTTGAGAATAAAGAAATTTCTAATATCTGAGGGCAAAAGTTTTGAAAGTAAAGTTTGAATGAGATAATGAGGAGGTATTTATTGTTTGCAAACGACGGTTCAAAACCTGTAATGGCCGACCAGTAACTAACGAACATTTAATGCCATTAAAGACGTGAATAACGAGACGTTTAGTCAGTTTTGTCGTTTATGGCGCGAAGGATCAAGACGAAGATCGAGGGCTCATATCGTTTCTCGTCGTTTACTCTCCGAAAAAAACAAGGGAACTATCTGTATACGGTCGAAACTGAGCTCATATATTGCATGACAGATCGGGACTGAAACGTGATGGGTTAAAGATCGACCCTAGATTATATCGAACCAAGGTACGAAATTGGAGCATACGTCTTCAAGATCATCGAGCCCTCACTCTGAAACCGACCCTGGACTCCGAACAAGATCGAGAAAACATTATCGGACCAAATAACGGAAGGCCAAAATATCCGCAATCGGTCGGATATCGCGACGTAATATCCGCAATCGGTCGGATATCGCGGCGGAAATCTTGGCACATATCAAGGAGAGACCGATTAGTTAACAAATCATGAGATTTTTTTACATTTTATAGAATTATATGTAGAGTAGGGGAGGTCTAATTATTTGTTATACACATTGTAACACGCATCCCAAATCAATACACTGTTATTTCTAATTACCTTATCATTCCGTTCCGATATCGATTGAGGCACTTTTAGACTCGAGGTTGACCAACCTTCAAGGCTAAGACTATTCAACTTGTGTAGTTTGCATTTACTTTTATGTCATTGATTTCAATATTAATCTGTTTTCTCAATTTATATCAATTTACCTCACGTATTCTTATAATCGCGTATAAATTCAATTGTTATCCCATTTCGAGTATAAACCGTTGTACTTTTATTTTGTGCATTCTAATAAACATGAAAGTCCAATTTCCAAAAAAAAAATAATTAAAAATAAAAGTAAGGAAAAGACAAGGTTTTAACTTTTTACCAACAAAGTAGGGGAATTGCGGCGTCAAACGGAATTGGGTGTTTTCCAAATTTTGGATTGGCCATATCGCCAGAATTCATAGTACCACTGTATTGTCTTTTCTATTTTCCTTAACAAACATCTCTCCGTCGTTGTCCCCAAAAAAGAGCTAACTTTCCATTTCCTTTGAAAACAGTTTCTGTGATTTGGAGGTTGAGGGCAAACATCTGCATCTGACTTTACAGCAAGTGCACTGTTTAAATCAGAACCCCTTTTAGCTCATCTGTTTCTTGCCTATAAAATCATCAGCTCTTCTGGGGATAAGCTTGCCCTATTTTTCTCAGGTTAATCATAAAAACTACTTCTTTCTTTTACTTTAACAAATTTGGGTCTCTAAATTACACATGCTTTGCTGCATGTTTCCTTTTTTTTTTTTTGTGAAAAAAATATAAAACTAGGGGATGAAAAGAGATGCTAATCTAGTATTAGTTCCTATTAATTTTTTTCACTGGAATATTTCTGACTAAGAAAATCCCAGCTTACTGTGCTTTGGGTTTTTGGCAGATTTATTTTTTGTCTTTATAGGATTCTTGATATTATATATGACTAGTTATGCAGCTCATGTTTAGTCTAGCTAGAGAATTGCATGTTAGTTTTTTAATTAGTAAGTGTGAGATTTAGAGAATCTTCTGAGAACCCTAATTTGCTTTAAAAGGCAAATTATTGATCGTAACTGGAATGAAATGGGTCAACTAGAGCGGATTGAAATAGAGGATTCATACACGTCATTTTTAGTCCAGTTAGAGAATTCTTGTTAGTTTACGAATAAGTGTGAGATTTAGAGAATCTCGAGAGAACCCTAATTTGCCTTAGAAACAATTATTTTATCGCAATTGGAATTGAATGTGGAATCGATATAGAGGATTCATATGCGTCATTTTTAATCTAGTTAGAGAATTGCTTGTTAGTTTACGACAAGTATGAGATCTAGGGAATCTCTAGAGAACCCGAATTTGCTTTAACAGACAAATTATTGATCATAATTGGAATGAATTGGGTCAGGTAGAGCGAAATGGAAATAGAAGATTCGTAGAGTCAATCACAACTAGCCTCAGATTATGACATAGCTTAGTCATTAATAACATGATTGGCTGAATGTTGTGTTGTTTCTGTAGTTTAATTTTTTCCCCTTGCGTCTGCATCATCTTGTCATTCATGTGTGATACCAAACTTGTGTGAGGGATCTTTTGTAGCTTATGGTTTGAGTAATATTCACTTGTTGAGTTTAACCGGGGACTTTGAATATTTCTAGAAAATATCAAACGGTTTCTTCTTTTATTACTTGTTCAAAGAATGAATCTCTATGGCCTGTTCAAGAAAAGAATAAATTTTTATGGTTTAGTAACTTAAAAAGTATTTAACTTCCTCCTGCATAAACTTTGCTGAGGTTTATTAAACGCGTATATGTTAATGTTTGCAAAGTTTTTGGTAGTTAATGGTTAAGCCAAATAACCATAGATTATGATCTTGATGCGGATACAATGAGGGATTTAGTGTGTCACGCTATCTGTCCAGAGCTGCGTGGGATGTACGAAAAGGAGAAAATGGAAGGACGTAAAATGAAGATGTCATGTCCGTCTTCTTTTTATCTGCAAGGGGTTAATGACTAATGAGTGCATTGAAATCCCATGCCCTCCTTTAGGGCAATTTTATCTTGTCAATCATTCCGACGCATTAATTCTACCAAAATTGTCTGCTGTCCTGCGTTGTTCAGTCCGATAAAGGTGTCAGAGCAAGCCTAACTTTTTTTTGGCTCCCAGTGTCTGTGCCTTTTGAAGCTTAAACAAGAACAGTGCTAACGATCTTCTAACAATGGAAAAGCTTGGTTTCACAAAGAAATTAGTACCTTTTGATGGAGCCATAGTGTGTGACAGGCACATTCAACCTTGCCATATTAGCTCAGGGAAGAGATCATGTTCGCAGAGTGAGTACTAATGATGCTAAAGGAAGAGGAGGATTACAATTATAATTCCAACACCAGTGGTGATTAAATTTATGGAATACAATAGTTGCACCATTCTGGTATATAAGGTATAAACCCTGACTTTCTAGCGAGTAAATTATTCCTCAGCTGCTGTAGATTAAGTAACTGAATTCGTGCTTTCCCACCATTAGATAACAAACAATATAAGTCAAACGGAAAAAAATAAGAGGAAAAATGGCGATTAAGCTTTAAATTAGACTAATAGGAAATACATATCACATCAGTACTTTTGCTCTTCAAAAATAGTGGATCATTAAGCTCAAATTATCAGATAATGATAAGGTTGTCCATATCGTCCATTAACTGGTTGGTGTGGGTGAATTGTATGTATCAAGCAATTTTTGACCTGCCACGCAGGCCATCAATTGTTTTTGATGTGATCTATTTCTACCAAGTTGCTGGCCTTTTTTTGGGAACAATTTCTACCAAGTTACTGTGTCTTCAGGGGACTAAGGATGTAAGAGAAGAGGTAGAGCTCGAGGATACTGAGTTGTATGCATGATTGATTCATAATTACACTCTATTTGATGTCTATTTGATTTTGAATCTTTGGAAAATTCTCTATCCATCTATGCCGAGGACATGTGGTTATGCTTAGCAACCAGCTTTTATGTTCTTTATAAAGCATTACACTTTCCTCTCCCATTCCGATGTGGGATTCACCTAAGGTGTTATGTGCACCCCTGCTTCAGAAGTTTGCCAGCTTAGAAGCTTGGCAATCTTTCTCTTGGACCCGCCGTCATCGGCCCGCCCTCCGTCATGGGCATCATATAACTTCCAAATTCTCTTTTAATAATTAAAAAGAACAGTTACAAGCAAGAAACTGGTGCTTAAAGTGTATTGCATATTATCCAGATTTTTCTTGCCTTTTGTACCCAATGTGGATTGAACTTGGAGTATTTTTTCCATTTAAGAGTGAACCAATTAACTCTTTCCTTGTTTGGTTGGTGAAAAATTGTGTATACTCAATCAGGATGATGTAGGCATACCTGTTCTTCAGTGTCTACTGCACTGGGAGAAAGATAGAGAGCCTTCCTCCCCCTAACCTAGAAGAGTTTTTATGTGGTTAAGAAATTGCAAGCTAGTCCTATGCAGTATGGAACTACCCATGTTATGTTATTCTACTAATCAAAATGAAAACACACCAGTTCTTGTTAAGGAAATATCATGTGTAAACAATAAAAAAAAAATCATGTGTAACTCTAAAAAGTTATTTCATATTCAGTTGATGTAACGTGCTTTGTGCACCTCTCCTCGTTCCTGCCCCTCTCCCCCCTCCTGTTTCCATTCATTGAATGATAAAATCTTGGAATTCATGCATTAACTTGTTTGCGACATATTTTCCTACTTAGAGTTGTTGGTTGAAGTCTCACACAAATCCTAGAGTTCTTTCAGGTTAATTTATTTCTATTCCCCTGGAATAGGTGTGAAATTGAAAGATTTTTTTGTCTAGTTGGTTTGCCACTATCCTGATTTAATTATTTTTCTTGCTGCTAGTATGCGAATGTGTTAATTTTGTAGTGTGATACTTGTAATTAGAGATGTAACATTAGTATTATAATAACTTCCATGCAGCTGTAATGTGAAGGTGAAATGAAAAAGGAAGGAAGGGGTTTGGGGGG